GATGAGAAGGGGAGTTGATTAAGGAACAGAGCGTATGTAGAAGGAGTGGTGGTGTAAGATAGATTGTGTATTTTCTTCATTTTCGTATCTTGAAAATCATGAATATTTTAAGAGAGGTTTCTGGGGAAGAAAAGATGGGAAAGCTAGGCTAGAGTACAGATTCTTGATTGGGTGAACACGCAATGGAGATGTGGTATGTCAGGGTTGAGATGTACTGTAGATGATTATGAAAGGAAGGAAGTAGAGGAGAGGTAGTAGAAATCTAATTGAGAGTTCTGATATAGGGTGATCGGATTAAGTTCTAGTGTTTGATGATAATAAGATAGATATCATTTGTTAGTTACTTTTGCTAATGATATAATTTTATATTTGTACCTTTATTTATATTAACGATGGATTTATATTAAGAATAAAGTAATCTTACACTGACTTTATTTTTTCTGTATCTTCCTTCTTTTCCCTTCTCATCTCCCGCCTCTCATCCATCCTTTATTCATTCCCTAATCTACCTCTTCTATATATCATAACCCAATCCATCCCTATTAAATCCAATCCAATCCAATCTAACTAAACTAAACTAAACTCACCACCAAAGCATAGTCCCAGCAAAGGACACTCACTCACTACTCATCTCCTACTAACCCCCAATTCACATCACCAAACCCTCTACTTTATTTATTCATTTTATTCATATCCATTATATGATCATCCAAATCATCTATATCGTAAATACATACTAGCCAGTAAACTTTCTTTCTAAAAGAATTTTTTTTTAATCCTATAAGATCAATCTTTTCATTTCTTATTCTTTATTCTCTTCCATCTTCAATTTCCTTCCCTCTCTTCCTATCTCAAATCCTACCTAGGTACTAATCATTATAAAATTATATTTCCAACTTCAACCTCAAACTAATAAACAACAAGTGGAAGAGAAGCGTCTATTAAAATCTCTTTCCTAAAAGCAGGAGTAAGATTACAAGGTTATCTAATAAATACACAAATACCCAAATAAATACCCAAAATAAACAAAAAATAACCCAATCCGACATCCAACAGACGCTACGGCACCAAACCCGATATTCCGAGTATTCTCATAAGAAATTCAAGAGCCAAGGGAGCCAAGGAGCCAAGGAAGTTAACGGGGCTAGGAATATGGGGTAACCTTATTGTGGGGTATGTTATTAGACTATGCTGTGATGCAGTATCTAGGTACCTAAGTAGAGTTAATCTTAAATATGAGATGATATGATAAAGTTAATTGTTAATATACTTTATAAGTATTGTGGGATGGGAATGCGGGGTATTTTTATTGGATTGGAGATTTTTTTTTTTTGGTAATCTTACCTATTGGATGGTAGGATGTGGAAGGATGTGGAAGGATAATTTAATTTGTAGAGTTGTGGTATGGTAGGGACTTAGATTGAGATTTATATTGAGAAGGAGGGTGAGGATGAGAGAAGGGGAAGGAGATGAAGTGGTGATTTAGATGGGATATTATATATAATATATAATTTGACTGTGGTAATCTTATGTAGTTGTGATTATACTTGATCATTTATAAAATATACACAAATAGCAATCGGTAGATAAAGTAAGAATATTCCTTCTATATATATAGATGGTGACTCTAAATATTCTATTCTTATACTGCGCTTTCCATAAGACAACTTATCTTTATCCTGCTCTTTAAGCATAGAACACTCTCCCGCCCTAACTACCTACCAAGTATATGGGTACTTTTTTTGCTTCCCTTCGCTCCGCTTCCTTTCCTTCCCTATACACATAATCGATATCATGGCAAACATTGACCTAAAAAATAATTAACAATCTATCCCTTAACCTCCTATTCCTTCCTCACTCTATCCTCCAACATCGTATTCTTTTTTTAAATAAAAATGTCTTGACTTACTATAATAAGCACTACTAACAACACATTTACTCCCCGCCGCACAAGTCGTCGCCCCATTCCAACCCTGCCCACCACACTGAGCATAAATCGCCGCGACCGCCGTTCCGGTCGCCAACACACTACTACTCGACTTCGTACTAGTTACCAACGTCGTCGATGTCGCTTTGGCCGTACTACTCAAACTCGTACTCGTACTACTCTTCGCGGTACTCTGCGCTGCGCCACACACAAAAGGTGTAGGACCTGGTATTGGATACGAAGATAAAGTTTGATAAATATTAATCAAAATACCAGGATCATTCTGGGCATAAGCTCCTGGGAAAGATACTGTAGATGGAGAAGAGGTACCCGTGCCACCTGAGACATTGATCTGTGCACATTCCATGTAGAGTTGGGCGCCTTGCAATCCGCTTGCTGCGTGGAGAGCGATTAATTCGGCGCGGAGAAGATATTGACCATTGGCTATACAGCTGGGAATGGTAATACTTTGGACGCCTGCATTGTTGATTAAATCTGTGGTGGCCCATCCTTGTGTTGCGACATTGAGACCTTGTTCGGAGATCTTGAACCAGCCGGGTCCGTAACCGACGTCAGTGGTTGCGTCGTCTACTTTTTTCATGTAGGCCATTACGGGACCTAGGTGAGAGGGATCGAGAACATAGGTTGCGTCGTTAGAGGGTGTGCTGGTTAGTGTGTGACGCCAGATGGCCTTCACTGTGCTGCCGGCGACTACATTGATTATGTTTGAGGAGGGTGTGGTAGGGTTGGGACCGCCGTTGCAGGCGACATATTGGGTTGTTACGTCGGTTATTGGCTGAAGATGTTAGAAGTAGTTTGATGTGCGGGGGGAAGAGAATTACGCCGTCATATGTTGGATCTCGAATAGCATAGCTGGTATCTGTTCATTGTGAGCAGTTTGTTCTTTAAAAGATTATGAGAGACAAACTGTAAAGTGTGCCCCCTGATTCCAATTGCGTGAATATCGTATGTGCGGAGACGTATGAAAGGAGAAATGAAGAAGGAATGAGAAATTGTAACTTCATGATTGTTGGTATTCTTGAAATTCAGGGTACGGAAAAGGTTTGAATTTGATTTCAAAGGGTAGAAGGCAGATACTTGATGCATATATGTAGATTATTCGGGCAACATGGTTTAAAAGATGTATTCTTCACTCCTACCCGAAACCCCGGATGAGATTGACAAGAGAACTGTCATGAACACATAAAATTCGACGCGATTTCTCGGCGATCAAGATTTCCATCCATAGAAAAGCAGAAATGAAATGTTTTTTCGGGAATGGGAGCAAGACTCCCCAGTCTAGATTGCTTGGCCATCCCAATACAGAATTTCCTGGGGAAGACTTTGAACAATCCCCGGATCTTTGTGCTGTTAACTTCACACTCCCTGAAAGGAAACTGTTAGTCCAGCGAAAAGTTCATTTATTTCGTGCCATGTGAACAGAAGTTCGGCTCAACAAAAAATGATTCCGTCTTACACCTGGGAAACTGCCCCGTTCTGATAAATTAATTAATTGACCGATCAATGACTGGTCAGTTTTTGTTGAAGAGAAAGTCGAAAGGATGTATGTGTAAAGATGCAAACGAAGATAATTATAGTATATATTGATGAGCTAGGAAATCCTGACACAACACTCGTTGGAAAAATGGGCGGGAAAATAGAAAGGGTAAATAAAATATCCTGACACGGGATAAGCATTATGAATAGCCGTGATGGAGAGTACGTGACTCTTGAATTCTGCAATTTTGAAAACTCGTGATGGAATTTAATTCCTCTTGAGTATTATGATTGAATAGAAATAGGGCAGCTGAGTAGCACGTTGATCAAGGCGAGCTGAACACTTTCATCCTTTTCTCTCCCTAATACTTTTTTTCCTAATGTTTGGCCCAAATGATCCATAATACACCACAAATCGAATCATTTATATGATTATCATTCAGTAGTGTATTCAATAAAGAAATCTCCGTATCCTTTTCCAACTTTGGGCTATAACCATATAAGAAAACTTCCCCGACTTTAATCTGGGCATACTAATGACACGTCGAAGCACCAGTTAATTTCCTGGAAATCCCACAACTCTACACACACATTTAGCAATAATCAATACCATAGACGCGAATAGCAATAAAGGTAGGCACTCGCTCAAAAATGCAAATTCGCAAAGAATGATCAAAATTGGTAAGGATTTTGTTTGGTAAAGAAAGTATTTAAAAGAAGAAAAGATGCTACTCACAACGGGAGTAAAGGCATAATATGTACTAAAAGGTAATCACTCGAAAGTAGCACTAGCTCCTTTTGATAACAAGGTATTGCCAGGCCAGAGCAGTTTGAAAATTCCATTGTAATATTAGATTACAGTCATGTTGCATGTATCTGCCCCATTAATTGAGACACACGCAATTAACCTTAGTTGTCGCGATAAAGATTAACTTTGCCCTACCTTACTCATGCCACGCAGTTCATTAAATCGATACCATGTACTGACGCCGGAGAAACCCAGGAACGCGGCCATCAAACCCTAAACTTCAAGCACAGCACATCAAAGCTTGATTTGTTGTCGAAAGATCCATTGCACGTTGATAAGAGATTAGACGGTGTCGGGAATGGAGACGTTGAGTTAGTGAACACGAATTAGAGGATCTCGAAATGATGAACATGCCCAAACATGAGATGATTGTTGATATTGGAAGGGCTGAAGCTTGGGTGGTGGGTCCTCTGGAGAAGAATGGAAGAACATAAAAATTCCATTTTTAATTTAACCTTAACCTTATCAAATGCCGCTGTGAAACTCACAGTGCGAGAGCGAGATCCGGAATGCGAATGCGAGAAAGTCCGAAGCAAAGGAGGCTGTTAAAGATTGTGCTCTATGAGGTACAATACACTTTTGCCGAGGAAATCGATCGATAGATAGGTATGTATCACTTGCAACTGAAGTAGGTATCTGGTAATTGATCATGACTGGACGGCGGACATCCCATCTTCTTATAGCTATCTCATCTGCGAATTGTTAAGTCACGTGAATTGTCCGAGTACGAGTCCGAAGTGTACGAGATACGAAATACGAAGTACGAAATACGATATACGATATACGATATACGATATAGACTTTACAACGAAACGACTACTCGGGCAGGGATTTGCTGCATAATGCCATAAACATACCAACCATCACTTTTGGTTCAACATGGCTAGTATCGATATGCACTGCCTCCAATTGCGTGAGGTAAAAAGTCAAAAAGATATTAAGATATATATGAATGACTTCAATAAAAAGTTTTACGAGTGGTCCTCCAAGTTCTCTTCTCTTCATCATCTTCTTCTTCCGTAACCTACGTAACCTTTCCATTAGCTAGGTACATACTACTTTTTATAATATCATTCATTTCATTTATCTTATTTATTTCATCCTTGATTCTTGATACCATGGGGAATTCTGAAAATGATAGAAGGAGGAGCGACAGTACGAGGAGAAGCGACAGTATCGAATGGGATGTTCCTCCTCCTTACGAAGCAACGTTTGGTAATGAAGAATATGGTGTTTCTACAGCAGTACAAGGTGATTCCTACGATATCCTCGCCAAGTCGCCTTACTGACACAACGCACGCACGCAGACAATGGACGAATTACTATGTCATTTATGGGTCAAAAACCTCCATTGCCTCCAATATATATGCCTGAGAATACACCGACAAAACTTGCAGAGCCCGTCGGGAAATATCCTAGACTCAATATAGTCATTCAGGTAGTTGGAAGTCGAGGTAATTATATTTCACAAAATCTATCTGATACCTTCAAATAGAAGTTCGGCGTTAATAATCGATTTAGGTGATGTTCAACCTTTCATAGCATTAGGGAATGAACTTCAACTCTCCGGCCATAGAGTACGTATTGCAACTCACGATGTATTTGAGAAGTTTGTGCGAGACTCCGGACTAGAATTCTATGCCATCGGTGGCGACCCTACAGAATTAATGGCCGTAAGTATATCATTTCATTCCCCTCGATGGAATATACATACTCATAATAATCCCGTATAGTACATGGTTAAAAACCCCGGGATATTCCCCAAATTCAGCACCCTACGCAGTGGAGAGATCTCCAAGAAGAGAAAAATGATATCCAGAATGCTCGAAGGTTGTTGGGAGTCCTGTATCCAACCGGATTCCCAGACTGGCGAACCATTTTTCGCTCAAGCTATCATTGCAAATCCACCTAGTTTTGCTCATATTCATTGCGCGCAGGCTTTAGGAATACCAGTACATCTAATGTTTACGATGCCATGGACGGCGACGAGATCGTTTCCTCATCCGCTAGCAAATATTCAATCCACGGAAACAGATCATAAAACTGCGAATTTTTTGTCTTACGGTTTGGTAGATGCGATGACTTGGCAAGGGTAAGTTTGCGTTCGATGATTACTGATCTTGTTATTCTCTAACAACTTTTATGTAGCCTTGGAGATGTAATTAATCACTGGAGAAAGAAATCCTTAGATCTTGAGCCGGTGCCCGTTATGGCTGGTCCTCATTTAGCAGCTTCTCTAAATATTCCCTTTACATATTGTTGGTCGCCAGCACTTGTACCCAAACCTCAAGATTGGCCTTCACACATAGGTTAGTAACTTCAGAGTCTTCAGAGACGTTAGCATTCGGATACTGACCAACCATCTAGATGTTTGTGGATTTTTCTTCCGTCCTTCACCATCCTACAATCCCGATCCTAGGATTTTAGGATTTCTGGAAGCCGGCCCCAAACCTATCTATATTGGATTTGGTAGCATCGTGATGGAAAATCCTGAAAAGATGACTGCGATGATTCTGGACGCCGTTCGTGATTGTGGCATTAGAGCAATTGTATCGAAAGGTTGGAGTAAACTTGGACAGGGCATTGAGGATGAGAATATTTTATTCATTGACGATTGTCCTCACGGTGAGTTTTCCAATATAACCATACCCCAGTACTCATTAGCTAACATTCATAGAATGGCTATTTAAACAAGTCTCAGCGGTTATTCATCATGGTGGTGCAGGAACAACAGCATGTGGACTACTAAATGGTCGTCCGACTACCATCGTCCCATTTTTCGGAGAGTAAGTCAGCCTCCTCAAAAATAAACAGCATCTGTAACTAATCATAACCCCAGCCAACCATTCTGGGGAAACATGGTCGCAGCAGCCGGAGCTGGTCCTCCACCCATTGATCATCAATCACTCACCGTAACCATTCTCTCCAACTCCATCAGATTTCTCCTATCACCCGATGCCGTCGTAGCAGCACACGAACTTGCGGTAAAAATCCGACAAGAGAACGGAGTCAAAGAAGCCGTCAATTCATTCCATCGAAACCTTCCACTCAAAACAATAAGCTGCGAGCTTCTAACCAAAGAACCCGCAACCTGGTTCTGGAAAAAAGGCAAAAAGAATCTGAAATTATCCCATCAAGCCGCCGCCGTCCTCGTGGAGAAGGAAAAAATCAACACGAGTAATCTCTCCATGTAAGTTCCCTCAATCCCACAAATTCACCCCCCTCAAACAATACAGCCCCACTAACCCAAAATCACACAGCTACAAACCCCAACCCATTGTCATTAAAAACCGACGCTGGGACCCCTGGACCGCCACCACTTCCGCCGCTGTCGACAGCGCCGTTGACATATCCCTCGCCATAGGTCAAATCGGCACAAAATACCGAAAAGAATACCAAGGCGCACTCACGAAGAAACGAGACAACGGAACGACATCATCACGTACCGCCTTACAAGCAGGGAGTATAGCACTTGGAAAAGGGTTCCAAAATCTCGGAATGGCAATAACCAAATCAGCGATTGAGCTTCCGCTAGCGGTGGCAGATGGGTGTCATGAGATTCCAGGACTTTATGGAGATAAACCGAGAGATTATGGTGATGTGACGGATTGGAAGAGTGGAGGATTAGTAGGAATGAAGGTTAGTTTTGAGCTGCTTTTTTCTTTCTTTTCTTTTTGAAATATTCGAGCTCGACTAAATATATGAAATGGATAGAGTTTTGGATATGGAATAGCAGATGGATTTGCAGGATTATTTACACAACCCGTTAAGGGCGCCATGAAAGATGGCGGAAAGGGATTCGTAAAGGGAGTTGGAAAAGGCACGGTTGGATTTTTAACGAAACCGTTTTCTGGTAAGCGAATTATTCCTCCTTTTTCTGCATTGAAAAATTAGCATCGGTTAATGAGAAGACAGGTATTTTTGGATTCGTTTCATATCCAGCGTTAGGATTGTATAAGACTTTGAGTACGTCTACTCATCACGGAACACAGGGGAGAATATTATCGGCGCAAACGGATTATGGCGTGTTTTTGGCTATGACACGAGAGATACCAGAACATGTGGTGGAGAAAATTGTGAAAGATTTTGATTGGATTGTTGACGGGATTTAAAGTTTTCTTGTCTCTTGGGGATAAAAGTTCTTTTGTTTTCTTTCTATCGGTGTCTGATTTGCGCTCTTATCAAGTTCCATGGGAAATCCTCATGGAGATGAACCATATTCATCCCAAAAGTCTTATTATACATCATCAAGTCTAGTACCCTACTTTTAGGCCACCCCCAATTTAGACCACGCTTTTACACCAGAAAATATTTTTCTAAAGGGCATATGAAAAATTGAAGAACTATATACTGGCTTTTATTCACAGACTCGCAAATTAAGATCTTATTTGTTATTATACACTGACTAAACCTTTTAAGACCAAGAGTATTAGACTGAGAGACATTTAAAATCGATGCTTAATGACTACCTAAGTCTCATACTATCCTAAAAAAAAAGACTCGAGCTAATTATCTTAGTTTCCAAGAAATGAGTATAAACGTCATACATACCAGAACTAACGGTCCTAAAAACCATATCTCTCTCCGAATTGTCCTTAAGAAAACTTCACATCATACATATTCGTTGTTTCTCCCCTCACGATTCCATATCATCCACATATACAGCTCTGCAAAATATCTACCACTAATATAAAACACATATTATCATCTTTTCATCCATCCAACCAAAACTTTAACCACCACGACATCCACATCCTCCAACCTCCAACCTCCAACCTCCAACCTCCCTAAAACAAAAGCCTCTCTATTACTCAATCCCAAAATCTCTCTTTCCATCAAGACCACAACTATCATTATTCTCCTCTCCACATTCCATCTCCAATAACTTCTAGAAAAAAAGTCTCATAATTAGAACTAAATAAATATCACAAAAAGATTTTCAATTTTAAATTTTAAAGAAATCATCGGAGTCAAAATATTAAAGAAATGTTATATTAAAATTTATCAATAAAAAATCATTTAATTATTTGAGGAAAATACAAGATCTAAATACAAGTTTGAAGACTGCTTTGGGAGTGTCTTGTTGTGACGGAAAAGTCGTAAACGGAGTCAATTCAATTACTTAGAATCTAAAACTAAAGAACTAAGAAGATTCTAAGTAAGAAGGTCTTTATATACAGGGCTAGTGCACGTGAGCCACTAGTGGGATAACAACCGTCACGTAACACTTGTGATATATTTTATGATGAATATTGATGTAGATAATGAGAAGGTATTAATTAGGTATTTATTTTCAGTTGTAAAATACAGTAATTGCGTCATTTGGTGGAGGAGGAATTTTAGGAGGAATAATTAATGTGTATAGGTATGTTCTTTGAGATTGAAGAAGAATGCTATGTTACGAGGTTTGCCGTCTAGATCACGTGGAAGTGCTCTAGGCTTTCGAGGTGGTTTATAACTAGGCGTCAAGCAGGGACTTAAGTAATGACAATGATGCAATTCGTAACTAATAGTAGAGTATACTAAATGATTGATCTTGAGCACGAAGCTCTATACAAAGGAAATTCATCATGATTATATAGACCTTCGTATTATACATCCCATCGCCTCCCATCATATCCCACTGCCTGTAGTTGAGTGATTCTAGGTGGGACAATATTGGGTCATGTGACAATGAGCTTAGTCACCTGAGTAGCTGTTAGGATTGGTCGTAACACAGGGCACTAGTCCTATTAGGACTAGATTGAGAAGCTCTCTGTAGGAGAGCTTCGCACTTCCGTAGAACTAAGAAAAAGTGTGATTCATATAAAAGGCCAATATAGCCTCAGTTCTGCCCTGTCAGCTTCCCACTATTCCCTGTGTAAGATCATTCCTTTTAACAATTTTTAAAATTTTTAACATTTTAAAGTATTCAAACAAAATATAATCTTACAGTTGAAATAGAAATAAAATTCATTATATTAACACCCGCTAAAATTACATCCGATCCCATCCCATCCATTTCATAGAAAGCACACCAATCCATTAGCGCATTTCCTTTCTTTCCCATTTCGCCTACTAGATACTATCTCCATTTTTACTCCCGTTCCTAGGCCGTTAAACGCCATACACCATACTATCCCACCCATTCTACAAAGTCGAATCAAAATCGGAGGAATTTTTATATTTCTCAATAGCACAAAAATCAAGGTTTTCCACTTCCAGCATTCGTTAAAGAAGAGATTTGAGTAGGTGCAATTCTTCTCTTTTTCTTTTCATGTCCTGCTGTAACATCTTCTTTTTCACTTTCACTTGCATCACCTGGTCGTTTAATACCAGCTACTGAACCACTAGCACTTCGAGGAGTTTGTGGAGGTGTCGTTATAGGTACACCTGATGCAATGTTCGCAGCCGCGATACCTGGAACACTACTTGCTAATGGAGTTGGATTACTAATAATCGCACCTAGAGCTGGCGTAGCATAAGAAGATTGTGTTGCTACCGAAGAAGTTGAATTTGACCGAGTAGGTGAGGAAGGTCGGAAAGTTGTGACAGGAGCAGGAGGAGGTGATGGTGCAACCATAGGATTTGATGATGTACGATGATGATTATTTGAGATTGGAAATGGTGATGGAGGTGCAATACCAGCTGTTGGTGTTGCCATGGGAGTATTTTGTGTTGATGAGACAGCCGAACCACTTACGAGTGAACGTTTTGCAGTTGGGATTTCTTCATCATAAATTTGTCCAAGTTCACCCGGTGTAAAAGTTAATGTTGAGCAGAAACCATCCGAAGATGTCATCAATAATGTAGTTCCATCAGATGACCTTAAACAATCAGCATTACTCAACTTTCATAAATGAGCGTAAACATACCAGGATAAATCCGTAAAAGTTGCACAATGTAAATTGCTCACTATACAAAGCGGGGTTTGTTGCTGCGTATCATACAATAAAACTGAATCCTCTGTGGCAACAGCATAAACCATACGATAAGGCAAAGAAAATGCCATTGTTGGACCCTGAGAAGTTACGCTTGTTTCGACCTCTAAATTCTTTAGTTTGGATGAAGAACCAGGTCTTGGCGAATCACTACTTTGTGATACAAGTGGAGGTGGGTCCATTGATGCATGAGATGGTGATTTAGTAACCATCGCTGGCTCTGGCAACGCTGCCATTGTGTCATCAGCTGATGATGTATCAATACTGATATGTTTTGTAGCTGGCGGGGGAGCTTTTCGTGTTGTGTAGTAAATTGGTGAGCATTTGACGGCCACAGAAGGTTTCTTATGTCCAGGTAAATGTGCGACAGGAGGTTTGTTAATTCCACCTCTTGTATAGATATATACCGTATTTATCACTTCATACATCATCTTCGCACCATCTTCTGATCCTTTGTGCTGTGTTTGATATTGACCGGCTGGTGTGAAAAGAAGACTACCATCGGGTGTGAATGCTAACCTGCGAAAAAATGACTTGAGAGTTTCATTAGCGTAGATATGCGCATTTTTAACTCCAAGTCCAATCATCGAATATGGTTTTGGTGATGCTTCCATAGGCATGACGGCGGGTAATGGCATAGAAGGTGCAGGGGAAGCTGATCTTCGCATAGACATTGCTGGAGAAGAAGCACCAAATGAAGATCTTCTGCTATGACTAATAACACTAGGAGGATTCATTGGTAATGCCATGGAAGTTGGTGTACCTGGGCATGATGGTCCTGGTGAACCTATTGTATTTGGTGTTTCTGGTGGAAATTGTGATCGAAATCCAAGCTCGGGAGGTGCTGGGCTATTGGAGGAGATCCTTCTTCCAGGTAAATCCATCTTTAAATTATGCCCAATCCTCTTCGGTTCCTCCCTGTTATCGAGACTGAATTGCCCATCTTTCGTTCTCAAAGTATAAATATGTACGGATCGATCGGAAGATTGTGTCGCGATATATTCATTTAATGGATCCCATGCAACACCTTGAACGTAGTGTTGATGCTCGGCGATTTGTCTGATTAATTGACCTGCGTATAATTGATTAGTTTTCGGTATGGAAGGATCCATGATCATGATCGCATACCAGTTTGAGCATTGTATATCCTCGCAACATTGTCCATACTCCCAATTATGAAGTAAACGGAATCTGGAGACCAAGCCAAATCATATATTTCAGCACCCGATGATCTGCACATATGTTTCGTCCGCCATGTTTCCTTTTCTTCAAATCCATCCCCTCCAAATGCAGGTGTAATATTTGAAGCTTCGCTAGGTACCCAAAGTAGGACATTTCCATCGTCTCCAGCAGATGCTAGTAGCTCTCCTACAATTGATCAGCGCTCAGTCCATTTTGATGTGTAACTTCTTGTGCTCATACCTTTTGGAGCCCATCTTACTACGTTGACTGCTTGTGTATGTTTTTGTAGAGTAGCCAAATATTCAACCTTGCGGTCTTCTCCATCGGATTCTATCTTCCATAACTATACCCCAATTAGTATCTCTCATATTTCGACTTCGACATACTAAACGCACCCTAACGTTCCCATCCCCTCCTGCAGTAGCTAATCTCCCTTTTCCCGTCTTCTCCCAATCACAACTATATATGGGAGAATTTTGGTCATGCCAGTTGATGATCAAGGGTGTAGCCTTCATTATGCCGGTGTTTCTCGAGGTTGATGATTGAGGTCTTGAAATGAGCGTCGGCCGAGGACTAACCAGTATATTTCCGTGGTTCAATTCGTAGCCACCTTATTCGAATGATCTTGGGATGTGGAATTAGATAAGTGCAGAATGATGGCCTGTTTGATGAGTTTGAAAGTCCTAGAAAAGGTTGTGTGGTAGGATTGCTGGTACTGGGATTATGGTTTTGAATTTCAGGACGATGGAAACCTTAATCATCCTCCGAAGTGATGATAAGAAAGGTACGGAAGATTGTTCAAAGGGATTGAATCGTAGTTGATGGTTAGATGAGGAATAAAATCAAGAGCATTCCTTTTCCTAGCAGTTATTTAATTGATCTTTGAAAGAATGAGAATAGTAGTGTAGGGTAGTGTAGTGAAATAGTTCATGTCTCATAAGGTTGTGCCCAGCCAGACTCAAAAGTCAGTGAGGTTACTTACGGTACAGTAGTAGGTAAGGTTACCTATATTTTCACGTTTATGCGCGTCCAATGAATTTTACGCGTTCAATTGATTTCAAAATCAATTGAATGAACGGAACACCAATTAAAATGCAGGAAAGAGGTAAGAATGAATCTTTACTCAAAATAATATATTTTGCTGAACCTGTAGAAAATGAATAAATAAACATTAATATTCAGTCTGTATATATATTTTTATTATTTGCTTTCTATTTCTTGAGTCTTTGAAAGGTTGTGAAATATCTACAGCATTTAACATTCTTCTTTGATTAGAATTGGACAATAGACTGGCAGACTGCTAGCCCCTTCATTCTCAACGATCGATTGCTTATGAGATTCGTCAAACAGAAGCTTCTTCTAACCATCGTTATATATGAGTCATATCTGATAAATATATGTGCGTCAATACAGATTCTCCCCATCATTCTATCCAGAGGAAAGATGCAGAGTGTCTGTATATTCGGAATACCAAAATATAGATGTTTACATGTATTTATAACATCGGTCTCCTTACTGATACTTATTACTCAAATTCGTACTCACACAGAACAGAACACAAATCCAAGATTTTGTACCTGATCCACACATGGTGTATAAGCTTTTCCATCGGTCCCGTTGTTGAAATCCGTCACTGGTCAAGTTAGTCGTTACTTGACGTTGTAGACAACAAGTGCAGTCAAACTAATGTACTTGAGTGGAGGTCAATGATAACTCGAGCGAGTCGGTAAACTTATAAGGTCAATCAACCCCGGCTCCTGGATCCCGCCCTGAATTCTCTGCTGAATCAAACAAGCATCATCGGATCCATCATAGAAACCTTCTTTCACATTTCTATGGATTTACGGAGTACTGTAAGGTTACTATATACCATCGTGGGGAATATTCTCGGTCTGGTCTTGCTGGCCTCGATTTATCTCCGGTGTACGGAGTATGCGTAGGAGGTGCGGTGCATTGAAGTTGGGATTGCTTCCGATAAGATGATAGAATGGAGATGATAAAAAACACCAAGCGTGGATGTAAAATGGTATCTGCATCAAAGAATGATTATGGGTAAAACAATCAGACATGAAGGTAAGAAATCTGTTCTCAAATCTTCTCAATTCGCTAAAGACATCGAGTGCTTACCAAGCTAACCCACTTATACCTTATGAGTCTTCTTGCTGACAACTGTTACAATCATATATTTTGATCCTTTTGATCCATACACGGCCAGATCAACTGCGACTTATTTTCACACCGCTCTCGGTCAGCCTGAACAGGAAGGCAGTTTAGGAATTAGTTCTCGTATCACTACCTGCTGTAGCTCAATGATTAGCTAGCTAGTCTAGGTCATATCGATGTACTGACTGCACTCCAGTAGTATGTATTACACTATCCAGAATCAACCTTGCTTCTTCAATCCTTGATGACACGAGGATGGATGAGTAAGATGATTAGACTTGCCTAGAGAGCGTGGAATATCTTTTATCAATTGGCTGAACGAGACTAGATTAGATAATTGTGTCGGTCGGAGTTACCGTTGATCTCACTCATAATTCCATCTTGCAGACTGCCCCAGCCTTATTGGTTATCTGTATATATGGGGCCAAAAACGAGATACTCAGAAAACAAAGAGGAGGTGATGGTATGCATGCATGGAATTTAACCCAGAAGATGGAAGGTTGTCCCAACGATCTGGATGCATGATCTTCTGGGTACGATTTTGGTGGGGGCAATTGGTGACCTTGCTGACATGTACATTTATATTTACATATCATATTATACGTATACGGAGGAAGTGGACGGTGCACATGTAGATATTATGTCTATCCAATCCTCCAATCCGTACTCTACTCGGTAATGAATCAGTCATATCTCTTTATCTCATCCCATTTACCTTTCGTCATGTTATGATGTCTATTTAGGTACTTGTCCCTGGAGTATATTTAATGTACGCACCAAATATTTACCTACCAGGTACTTTTGATGACAAACTTCACTGACTTTAAAACTTATATCAGTGGTCAGGAAAGGTTAAGTAGATGTGTACTAGGTAATGTCATGTCGCCTTTTGACCTCACTTACTTACCTAGGTAATGATACCTCATCGTCCTTGATATCCAGATCTAGGATTGTTCGCGACCGAGTACACAGAGTACAGTAGCTCATCAGATCAGTCAATCATTAATTGGAAAGCCAGCCAATTAATAATTAATAATCTTTTTCAACGGTCAAATCATTAACCTAACAAGGGTGTTTTTTTTTTATCTATTTATCATCATTCACTTATTATCCACCCACCCACTCATGCACGTATATTCATAAAAATCCACCACCAGCTCCACCAACAATCAACCCCACCAACCAACATCCTCCTTTCGATAAAACTCGACTTGCCCCCGCCATTTTTTTGAGTAGCTCTCAAGTCAGTGGAGTAATAAATTTCTTAATAATCCTAGGTAGGTAGGTATCGATTGATCAATTTATCAATTTATCAATTCATCATTTTATCACTTTACCAATCTACCAATTATTTATCAATCTAATACTATTTTCACCTCTTCTCCTCTCCTCCTCTCCTCTTCTCCTCTTCACCCTTTCACGTATAATATTCCCCTTCATTGGATCCACTACTAACCTTTTATGACTTGTACTACCTGACATTACCTTGCCATATGAGTCAACTCTACCTACCTAATCACTTATCATTTCTAGCTGTTCTCTGAGCCAGATTTTATTTTGGCCTGCCCCAAATATATATCTTCGTTCGCAAGAAGGAGAACAAAATAAATCTTTTGGGACGGTTCTTATAATTTGCACTTGAATTTTCCCTTTTCTTGCTTTTATCCCCAGCTTTAATTGAGGATCGACGGCATCGTCTGAAGCAGTCTTCTGTGCATTACATTCAATTGGGAATATCTTCCAGTAAAGAATGATCTGCAACTTTACACCACTTTTCTCTTCAAACTAGACAATTCAAGATGCTCGATTTCAATTCGAGTTCCCTTGCCGCGGCAATCTGCTGTCTTCTTGTGGTCATTGTCCTTACTTTCCCATCCATACTCTCAGTAATTTCTCATTTTCGAGGGAAAGGAAAGCAAAATCCCAATACTTATGCTGATAAAGATGGAGTTGCCACGGAAGAAACAATCGCTGCATTCACAACCAAGATTCCTAAGATACTCCTGACTGTGTCGACACTTTTCGGATTTGGAACATCTTTAACTTTGGCCATTGTGGATCTCTTTCATCATGATAGATTGAACCTTGAAGATTGGACCAATGTGGCGCTATGGGTAAGTTGAATCATTCATAAACTTAGCTCATAGGTGACTTTACTGATTTGATTTTAGTCTTTCATCCTAATTCAAGCGGCTAGCACTATACTGAATAGAAGCCCTACGAAAGCATATGCGAATGGTGGTCGTACAGCAATTTCCAGTATCTGCCTTTTCGCTCTTTGCCTTTACCAAGATGGCCTCATTGCGCAGGATCAGTCTGCCGAGGAAAATTTCCTATCAAGTGCAACTTTCTGGCTTCGCATATCTCAATTGATACTCGCTTTATCAGTCGCTGTTTTCGCTATCTCATTCCCCCGTCGCCCACATGTTACTTTGAATGAGCACCCGGTCGATGGCATGTGGTCCGTTTCTGCGCTTGATAGATATACCTTTGCCTGGGTTGGAGACATATTGGCTTTGGCCTCTAATAAAAAGAGGCTAGAACTACAGGATTTACCTAAAATGGACCATTACACCAGGGCAAAGGATCTTAGTGAAGCGTGGGAGGAGAAAAAGCATACCAGAGCTCTCTGGTTTGAAATTTTCCTGGCCCATAAATCGCCTTTCGTCACTCAGTGGATCCTTACCGTATTCCAGGCTTTTGGAAATTTTGCACCACAATTTGTGACTTTTCAAATTTTGAAAATATTGGAGGCCCGTCTACCTGGAGATAAAATACAGTTCGAGGCTTGGATTTGGGTAGCCACATTATTCTTGGTCACTCTCGCCGCAGCTTGGATCGAATCCTGGATGTTTTGGGTTTCCTGGTCCGAACTGGCGATTCCTATTAGGTCACAATTATCTGCTCAAATTTTCCAAAAAGCCATGAGACGTAAGGATGTGAAAGGTGCAGCTAGATCTGGGAAGAAGCCCGCGAATGGGACAACTGAAGCAGCACAAGAGTCAATCGCACAAGACAAACCGGAAGACGATGAAGATGAAGATAGTGATCCCAAGGGAAAGCAGTCCACCGTCAACTTGATTGGTGTGGATGCCAAGAGAGTATCAGACTTTTGCTCATTCAATAACTACTTTCCTGGCGCGGTCTTCAAGCTTGTCGTCTCTTTCTCATTCCTGATTAGTATCATTGGATGGAAGAGTTTGGTCGCTGGGATGTTGGCCATGTCTTTAACCATCCCTCTCAACATTTACTTTAGCAGACGTTATTCAGCAGCTCAAGACAGATTGATGAAAGTTAGAGATGTTAAGATGGCAGTTGTGACTGAAGCACTTCAAGGAATTCGTCAAATTAAGTTTTCCGCACTGGAATCGAACTGGGGCAACAAAATTGGAATGGTCCGAAAGAAGGAATTGGATGAACAATGGAGTGTCTATCTCAACGATACGATGTTGCTCTTTTGCTGGATTACAAGCCCAATCGCCCTTGCTGCGGTAGCATTAGCTGTATATGCATACCTCCATGGTGTTCTCCTACCATCGGTCGCATTCACTGCCATTGGTGTCTTCGTCAGTCTTGAAGTTACCCTTAGTGTCATTCCGGAACTCACCACGGATTTGATTGATGCTTATATTTCTATTAATCGTATTCAAAGATATTTGGCTGGGGTTGAGATATCCGAAAGTACCAGTGACGCTCCGAATGTTTCATTTGAGAAAGCTTCGATTGCATGGCCATGTGCTGAGGGTGAAGATGAAATGGATGCAAACGAGCGATATGTTCTAAGGAATGTAGATGTTTCATTTCCCCAAGGAGAATTAAGTGTTATCAGTGGTAAAACCGGTACTGGAAAAAGTTTAATGCTGGCTTCAATTCTTGGGGAGGTTGATATTCTTGCCGGTAAAGTCCATGTCCCTCGTGGTCCAAAAGCTGAAGAACGACATGATCATCTTGCCAATAAAGACAACTGGATCATTCCATCTTCAATTGCTTTCGTTGCACAAATCCCCTGGATTGAAAATGCTAGCATTAAGGATAATATTCTTTTCGGATTACCATTAGACGAGGATCGTTATCAGAAGGTTATCGAATACTGCGCTCTTCGTAAGGATTTGGAAATGCTTGGAGATGGCGAGAATACTGAAATTGGGGCAAATGGTATCAATTTGAGTGGTGGTCAAAGATGGAGAGTTACATTTGCTCGAGCTCTTTATTCTCGTGCTGGTATATTGGTTCTAGACGACATTTTCAGCGCCGTCGATGCTCATGTTGGTCGATTCATTTACGAAAAAGGCCTTACTGGTGAACTTGGTGCCGGAAGGACTCGTATCCTCGTTACTCATCACGTTGCTCTTTGCAAAGCTAAAGCTAAATATGTTGTTGAGCTTGGTGATGGAACTGTAGAAAGTGCAGGTCTTCTTTCGGAACTTGAAGAAGCAGGTACACTCGAACGTATTATCAGTCATGAAGAGACACCGGAACAGATCGCGGAGGATGAGTCTCCCATTACCGTATCGGGATCGTCTACTGTCATTAACCCATCCGTGTCTTCTGATGATGAAAACACTGATGGAAATACATTGGCAAAGGTTGTATCAAGAAAGGATGATCCAAAGAAATTCGTTCAAGAAGAGACAAGAGAGCGTGGCAGTGTTAAAGTCAAGGTTTATGGTCATTATCTTAACGCTTCCGGTGGATGGTCTTTCTGGATACTTGTCTTGATTGCATTCCTCGGACAACAATTTTTAGTCACTGGTAAGAAATCAACAATCATTTTCATCACTTTGAACAGTTACTAACATTTTTTAGGTCGTTCTTGGTGGTTGAAGCTTTGGACAGAAAGCTACCAGGAATCTAGCATTACTAATTCTATGTTCACAATTCAAGCTAATTACTTACCATCCTATGGAAATACTCAGAATTCTTCGTTCCAAACTGAAACTATCAAGCATGATACCTCATTTTATCTGACTGTATATGTTGGTCTTTCAGCAATTTCTGCGATTGTAGGAACCCTTCGATACTTTTATGTTTACACTGGATCCATTCGTGCATCCAAGGTTCTTTTCGAAAACCTTTGCTTTACCGTCTTAAGAACACCTTTAAGATGGATGGACACAGTTCCACTCGGTAGAATCTTAAATAGATTTACTGCAGATTTCAATGTAGTTGATGGAAGATTAGCCAATGATTTCGCATTTGGAGCAAATAACCTATTTCAATTGATTGGTATTATTGGCACAGGGTATGTTTATCAAATTCTATTCTTTAGCCCTCAAACTAAAAATAATTAGTATTTTCATCTCTCCATGGGTTCTACTCATGTCTGCAATTCTTTTAGCACTATGTGTTTACGTTGCACTTCTCTATCTATCTGGTGCAAGAGAAGTTAAAAGACTTGAATCAATTGCTAAATCACCAATATTTGAACAATTTGGTTCTGCTCTTACTGGTGTTGGTACCATTCGAGCTTTTGATAAGACTGATATTTACATCAGAAATATGTGGGCTAAGATTGATGATCATTCTACTACATTCTGGCATTTATGGGCTTTCAATCGCTGGATGGGATGGCGTATGTCTTTCATCGGAGGATTCTTCGCTACAATTGTTGCTGTTGTTATCATTCTTATTCCTACGATTAATGCAGGACTTGCAGGTTTCGCATTATCTTTTGCACTTACTTATGGTCAAACAGTCATGTGGACTATTCGTCATTATACCAATTTGGAGCTTAACATGAATGTAAGTTTGATAGGTCCTTTCTCTTTTCTCGCTGGCCAACTTTATATTTTGACGGTTTGATCTTCTACAAACTCCTCTCTCCATACAACTCAGTTCTTCATCTTTTCAGAACCTGCTTCCCTTGACAATTACTAACTTTTTAATTTCATAGGCAGCAGAACGTATCGTTGAATACTCAAACTTAAAAACTGAATCTCTAGAAGGACCAGATCCACCAGCAGCATGGCCAACTGAAGGTCGTCTTGAAGTTAATGATCTTGTTGTTTCATATGCAGATGATTTACCACCTGTCCTTAAAGGTCTCACTTTCCGAGTTGAACGTAGTGAAAGAATTGGAGTAGTTGGACGTACCGGAGCTGGTAAATCTTCATTAACTCTTGCACTCTTCCGATTTTTAGAAGCTCGTCAAGGAACAATTCACATCGATGGTCTCGACATTTCTAAAATTAACCTGCATTCTCTACGATCTCGTTTAGCCATCATTCCACAAGATCCTGTTCTCTTTTCCGGAACTGTTAGATCTAATCTCGATGCATTTGATGAACACTCCGACTCTGAACTTCGCGATGCTCTCGAACGCGTACAATTAATTCCGCCAACATCCCAAAATTCACCATCAACATCAGGAACCTCAACTCCCTCCCTCCAAACTCAAAAGAATAAAAATCTTTTCACATCTCTACAATCACCCATCACAGAAGGTGGACTCAATCTTTCTCAAGGTCAACGACAACTTCTCTGTCTCGCCCGCGCTATCGTTTCACATCCTAAAATCATGGTTCTAGATGAAGCAACGAGTGCTGTGGATATGGAAACTGATGCACTTATTCAAAGATCAATAAGACAAGAATTTACGGATAGTACGTTGATTGTTATCGCACATAGACTTTCTACGATAGCGGATTTTGATAAGATTTTGGTGATGGGTGAAGGGAAGGTGGTGGAATTTGGAACGCCGAAGGAATTGTTGGGATTGAAGGAGGGGGTTTTTAGGGGAATGATTAAAGAGAGTGGGGAGAGGGAAAAGTTGGAGGAATTGATTTTGAAGAGTTGAGAGTTTGTGATTTGATGCTTTGGAAAGTTGAGGAATTAGAGAGGATGGAAGGAAGTAGAGAGGATTAATTTAAAATGGAGGGGGAGGTCTTGAATTTATAGATTTCTTTTTAGAGAGTAGGGAAAACATTGCATTTATGTGGTTGGGTAGGTAGGTAGGTGAGGTGAGGCTTTGGTCTTTCTTTTTTGATTGATTGATCAAGGGCCTAGTTGTATTTAAAAAGGCACTAGGCGTCAATCACTATTTGGATGAGGATGATGATGATGATGATGATGATGATGATGATGATGATGATGATTATGATGATATTAAAGTTAATCAAACAATGAGTAGAATAAAATAAATGAGATGAGATGAGATGAAACATTAAGATCCATATTTATAGAATTTCAAGCTAGAACTAATATAAGAAATTCTCTTTCTTTCTAGATTTTGACTTTAGATTTGTTTTTACTTTTGCTTTCGTTTTTTTACTTCTATTTTGTTTTTAAATCTAAAATCGATCTCCTTACAAAATAAGATGAAGTATGAAGTAAGAAGTATATAGATAGGTGTTTAGTCTGTGGGATTTGTGGTTATATTTTGTATTTTTGAATAGGTATCTAGATATAATTAGCAGGAACGATCTATCTTTCTAACTAGAATCTAGAATATATATATCTAGATACTCGGTACTGACTACATGCCATCTATCATCTGCTTATTTACACTATAGATTGAATATACAATAGAGTAGAGTAGAGTACAGAAAATCGATCTTTCCTGAATTGGTTCTTTCATATTTTGTTTTTGTTTTTGTTTTTGTGTTCCTGTGTTTTCTTCTCTTTTCTTTTTCCATTATGAGATATACAAATACTGTTGGGTTTCTTGGAACCAGAAAGAGCATCAGATTGAATTGATTGATTCTCTAGCTAAGCAGTTAAGCTGCGAGTATATATTCAAAAAAATGAAGGAATGAGGTTAGGTATTCAGCCTTCGGAATTAAAGTGCTTTGAAATCAAAATATTGAAAGCAAACAAACAGTATACCAAAAAGGAAAGAATGAATTAAAAGTTGAGTTTTGTTTGCTCCTTATATGCATCATGCAATATATATGCATATGCTGCCAAGATCCCAGGAGGTCAACAAATACAATATAATACAATACAGTACAGCACGACACAAACACGATAGAAACACGATAGAAACAACACGGTACGAAGAGCGGAAGGGATCAGCGGATCTTCTTCTTCTCTTTTTGATTTGTTAATGAGATTTGTCTCTTTTATTGATCATTTCTGAGTTCATCGATACCTACCTACTCAAGAATTCACAGAAGAACAATAATATTTCCACATTAATCCCACCCACCTACAAACACCACAAACAATGCACCCCCCCTTCACATTCCACTCCCTCCTCCTCCTCCTCCTCCTCCTCTACTATTTCTCCCTCTCCCTCATCCTCGCCATACCTCTTCCCATCCCTTTCCCCCTATCCCTCCCTCCTCTCCTAGACACCATAATCAACACCACCATAACCCTCTCCACCCTCAATTCCCCTCCCCCAGCACTCCTCACAACAAAACTCCACTCCGAAGAATGTATCAATATTAATCAGGGACAATTACTTTGTTGTGAGGATTTAATTGATGGGGATCAACCTGTTGTTTTGGAGGCGGCGAGATTGTTTGGGTTGAGTTTGAATCGGGATAGTGGGAATGGGGTTGCGTGTGAGTTTTTTTCTTTTTCTTTTTCTTTTTTGTTTTTGTTTTTGTTTTCTTTTTGTTTTTTTTAAAAGGGGGGAAGAGGGAGAGGGGGAGAGGAGTTTTGATGAGGGGGCTTGGGTTTGGGGTATGGAGAGGATGGGGGTTCAGGGGATGGGGTTTTTGTGAAGGAGGAGGGAGAGGTAGGGAGGAGGAGAAGAGGAAGAAAGAAGATGCTTGAATATACACTAACACGTATTTGTGAATACCTAGGCAAAGATTTAAACGATGGCGGATATTGTCCAGCGGTCGAACATAGACTTTGTTGTCAAGTAACAGATTTGGTAAGTCTTACATTTTACCATTTTACCCTTTTACTCTTTTACCCTTACACTTAAGCACCAATATTTTTCTCAAAGAGATAATGCTAATATTTTTGTGTGATAGATGGTTTTACCTCTTGTTAGTCTGGCTATGTGGTGTCATAGTGCGGAGTCTTGAGACGTTTATATCTCCATCACGGGAGACAGTCCTGACGCAAATAATAAAAATCGGAGTTTCTGCGAATAAATGGGAGATGGGGACGATATTCGGAGAAGGAATATGGAATGTCCCTCGGTGAAGAATTATATGATTCATTGGTGGAGATGAAATGAGCTTGATGATATATTTGCTTTACTGGGGCACAATTGCTGGAAACTTGCTGGAAACTTGCTAGAACTTGCTAGAACTTGCTACAATTTCTTCATAAGATTTTTAAATTACTAAAACAAATACATAGGAATTCTACCCATCACAAATTATTACTCCAACAAACCCTCAATTCAATCACTCGTAAGATCGAAGTGTGAACTACTGTAATTATAAACTTAAAATATCCCAGCACACTGGATTGCACCATATATGATATATCTCCATTTAACATACCTACTTTAATATAATATACCTACCTTTATATGATACCTAGAATATTCTGAATTCTTTGAGATGGGATTCTTAACTAACTAGTACTGTAATTTATATATAGTTAAGCTTCAATGATGAATATTTTTAGAAAAATTATTGAGAACTTGATACATCATTATCTTTGATCATCAAGCAATTCAACACTGAAACTTCGATGTGTATTGTACGATATACAACAAACCCGGAATTAAATTTGGATATCTTTGGAACAGTCTCAAAAATAAAAGAACTCCCAATACGTCGGCGCAGCCAGGCCTCAAAGTCTCAATACATATTTCCCCGACCAATTCTCCACTACCATCCGCGATTCAAATGAGTAAGAATACTTATAAGGTTTTATCTACAATTCTTGTAACTTCTAGAAAGGAGAGAACAGACTTTAGATGGGAGAGTTTCTGCAGGGTAATGTAGAAAGTAGGATTTCTTGCTCAAAGAACGGTGGACCCACGGCAAATTTGAACCAGAGAGGAATTCTCGTTAAGTCAGCATGAGATCCATTGTTTTCCACCAATCTCATACCGCGGAAGGCAAAATATCCGTGCTTTAGTTGGAGGAAAGGGAAAAAGAATGGCCAAGTGGTTCGGCTGGAGTTTAAATCAGTTCAAAGGCAAAGAAAAGAACTAGGTCATGTCTACTGGCGATTGCAAAACGTATGCAAGGTGGCGTGAGTGAGATCGAAAGCCATATGAAAGTCTCGAGGCTACCACTCCAGAAGGCAGGAGCTGATGTCTGTGATGTAAAGAGGTGAATTGGATTTGGGAATTCCTTGAATCTAGCAACGGGAAAAATATCAGTTGCCACAAACCCCATCCAAATCCACACTTTGGCCTTGTCTAGCATCCTAGATTGGTGTGGCGGTTCAGTAAAAGTTTTGGCTCCGATCGCAACACTTCCTCTGAAGAAATGATTTCGTGGTTGTCCTCACCTTGGGTCTCCGGGTCGCTTAAGTTCCCTTTTATATTCTTCCAATAGCCGGTCATGAATGAACACGAGCAAGTAATCAGAACTTGCATGATTATCCCGTCGGAGCACTTCATCCCATAATCTCACCACCGCAGCTAGTTTCCGGAGAACAAGTCCAAACCATGATGCGGAGCACTTCCCTCCCACATCCATATGGCTTCAATACCGATGGTCCATCGCCCGACAGTCCAAAAATGTATGGCTCTTACTTAAGATACACAAACCCACCACCATCGAATTACCATCTGCTCCAATCGCATCTATGGTAGCGAAGCCCCACCGAATCTGGTATACTTGATGAATTGTGAATAGCGAAATTGGTTCCGTCTCTTTCCCTTTCTCATTTATTCTCATTCCTCATGGTCCTCATGCTCTACATATTTAGACCACCCCAGCAATCAACTCTCTCTTCCCATTACCATAATAGAACCTGTATATTTTGTGTTCCAGCTTCCTCATCTCACAAAATATTTTACCGCTCTTATCTCTAATCCCACCCTTCAAATCATACCCTTTACTAAACAAATTCCTAACCTCCAATCCCACGCCCCGCAGATATGAACTCATCGACCAGATATAAAATTCCCCGCCGCGAAGGTAAAAATCGTTAAAATGGCATACCGAGCCGCTGATCACTCGAAGATAATAGCATATCATAAACATACCCCGAAACAACCTGCAAATGCCCAATCAGTAGGTTGTTAGCAGCAATCATAATCATCAATGAGTAATATCTTCCGCGACGCGTTTAATCCGCGTTAAAAAACGCGCTGAGTCTGTATATTGATGGTGATAGAACTGTAACTTCAGTACTAAAACCATGAAATTGTTCTCGCCGGCTACGTCTTCGGTAGAGCACACTTGGTCGTATCAATGAGGGTTGAATTCGCACTCGAAGCTGGAGGAATCTCCATTTAATGAAAATAAATTGTGATGTCCACGAGTTTAAGGTCTGAAGTGGTGAGTTTGCTGTTGATGGGTTCGTTTGTGTGGGAAACGCAGGGATCAGTAACCGCACCGTGCATTTTTCAATTTTAACGTCATCTCTCCTTTCTAGTCTTTTGGAGTGAACAGAAAAATTATATATGTTTGAGTTGTCATCATTATCCAGATTTGCTGTGGTGAAGAGGTTGCTAGTAGGTATGTGATATTATTTTGAAGGAATACAATATCGTATCCCAGAAAGATGATGTTATTTCCGTTCTATAAATCCATATTTCGCTATTGATAAAACGGCTGGAACTTATCTCTTCGAAACTCCACATCAAGCTCATGTTCAGTAGCATTCAAGAATTGTTTTCTTGGAGATATACTTATACTCTAGTTCTCTTGGTTCAAAGTCTATGATTGAAATCTTCTTCAAGTAAGAGAAGGACGGGATATTGTATATGGTCAATGTCAATGGGAATCACAAAGCACATTCATCAAAGCAATCACAAGGCCAGCTGATGTTAAGTTCAAACTCCTCCACGAATATCATCAAAACAGACTTTGAAGTCAGGTTTGACTCTACCACATCATACTTCTTATAATATTAATTACTAAATCTCAAATGCTCAAAGCCGAAGAACATCTCTATAAAACATCTGGACAGTCACTTCACTTGCTTCTGGACACACCCCCTTCACTTCAGAGCAAGTGTATCCAATATTACCATTCCCTTAATACTCGAAGATCCAAGTATACTCTAATAGATACATTTGTAAAATACCACATATCGTGCGAATTAATTCAAGAACTTGATGGCAAAGAGACGGAGCTGTATAATTCATAAAGCATCATAAACCTATAGAAAAATCCTCAAGTATTAGGTAACAAAATAATTATCAAAATCCAACCCACCTACCTATCTCCTAGTATATCATCTCACTCTCAATACCTACTAGGGGTCCAATTTACCTTGATGTATATTTAGCTAGGTAGCTAGGTAAATAAATAGGAAAAATTCCATTGATTAGGAATAAAAACATTTTTGAATTTTCTTTTCAAAGGAAATTTTGGTCTCGGTAGGAGGGAATGCGGATGGGGAATTTGGATTGAGTTTTTAGAGGACGGAGGGAGTTGGTGGTGAGAGTGTCGAGTTTTATTTCATGAGGCTTGATGAGAAGATTATGAGGGTTTTCGGTATTTATATAACCTTTGTGACCATTGAATATAATGAGGTATATTAAATAAGTGAAACATTGTATTCAAATCATAATTATAATTGATAATTGATAATTGATAATTATTATTTATCTTAACTTTCTAATTAATATAAAGTACCTTAACACTCCTCCAAATAATATGTGAAGATTCGATTTCTGTGATTTTGTATCACGGGGTTAGATTTAATCTCAAAGAAGCTTTTCTAGGACTTTTCATTGCTGTGTATTGGGATTGAAAAGCCACGAGATTGAGATGCCGGCTTATATATTCATAAGATGCCTAGGAGAAACAGCAAAATTAGACCATTTATGCTAAAATCATTGCACTTTAAGGGCTTGCCGCAGGGAGGGCTCGATGGAATTCTCAACTCTATCGTTCGGTGCACTCTTCACCAGGATTGGACGTACTACATAGATTCTCAGGAAGTATCGCTTAAGTAGTATCACCTGCCTACATCTGTGAAACTGATTCCGATCCAGTCTCCTTCCTGTTTTCTTTCTTCCACTAAATAACGCTTTTGAAATAATATAAAATTAAACCTGGGCGCATATTCGCGATAAAAACGATGGGTAAGGTAAGAAGACAATTGGTTGGCACTGGCCTGTGAAGAATACACCTGAATGACGGAAATGCCAACGAGGACAGACAAACCAGGCGATGTAGTTATTTTTCTCTCTTGTGGAACTACCCAAGAGCGATACGTCTATATGAAAGCAGGGAATATCTTGTTGAAGAAGCTATTCACATCAAACTGCCAAGATCTTGAATTCCTCTTCGTCGTCGAAAAATACTTGGATAGAAAATAATCTCTACCTGGTCGGAAAAAAACCGGATTCCTGCGGAGAGACTTGTGATCTAGTGGATAGAAGGAAATGGTATACTGCTCCGAAAATAACCCAAGCAAGTGATCGCTTTAGTATAAACTCACAGAGGACTTACAGCTTCATACTTTTGAACCTGATTCCGACGCATGAGGTGGATTTGGATTTGGATTTGTTGCAGAAGTGGAAGATTATCACGAACTCAGCCGTTTAGCAAAAATGGTTGGATCCGATCATCGGCTATGATTATTTCATATAAAGTACCTTGGCGGGCTATCTTGATGATTCCCAAGGTTAGCTACCTTGATGACCTCTATTGCCATGATGTGCTTCCAAACCTTGCCAAATGTGATGACTATCAGCTGTCTGGATTTGACGGTGTATACGCATATGATTGGCACACAATTGCCCTTGAATTCACAGTAAAGTAATCATCGAGTAATGACTGCAACATGGTGAAATGGATGCCGACAGAATCATCTGCAGGTTCCCGAATACATTGCTGGTGAGGCGGGTAGCCATGCAGATGTGGTCCATGCACCTACATGAATCCTCAGCAATTTACACACAACGACTACTTACCAATACCAATCGTTTCTCATAAACTTTATACAATTGATTCATCAGAGCTTCTTCTTCTACACCCCGTGTAGTCGGTGAATAGCTTTGATATCAGTAGATTTGGATGCTGCACGTCGTAAAGTTTTTGTTCACCGCTCGATTTGCCACTCTTCACCGAAAAACAAAATACCAGTTTTGGGTAATTTTAGCGGTGTTTCGACGAATCACATCATTGTATTGCTCATCTTTAAACTTGGCTAAACTCTTTACAGTAAATATCTTTCCTATTCCGACTCTGATACGTCAATGTTGCAAGGCCCTTGCATAAATTGATTTTAGCCAGGAACCGTTGAACCTTGGTGAGCCAGCCAACCAACGCTCTCCCCACAAATCTTGATTGATTATGATTCTTTGCTTTCCTACATAATATTTCCAGGCAGACATTCCAAACTACATACTACATATTGATAATTCACCAACATTGCTTCCATCACAAGTATATCTTCATCCTTCAAATGATATCGATATAAAAACTCTCCCTTAAACCCCTTTTCTCTTGCTTATAAGGAGAGCGCTTACTTGTGAGTGCGGCTCTGGAAAGATGACGACACAATTCGTCCTGAAGCCTGACCAAATGGCGGCTTCACTCAATGTCCAAGGAGCCGTCAATTACAACTTTACTCTCGACTTGAAGGGCGACAATTATTCCTGTAGTCGAGTTTGGGTATGGCTCCCTTTCTTGGTCATCCTCATCTTCAATGCATTTCCGCTGACACAAATTCAAGGATCCTGTGAATGCAAAATTTGAAACTTGCTTCATACCATTTATAGCCGGTATTCCAGCAGTCATCAGTGCATTAATCATTCTTGGATTTTTGACACAATTACTACCAATCCGCCGTTTATCACCATCATGGCTTCAGCCATTTATAGAAGAACCAGTAGAGAAATCTGGCGAGCTTGAAGAAGGGCGTCGACCACACATGTTCACAACCATGACCACGTGTTTATTAGGTGTCTCAATTATTGGTACACTACTACAGCTATCGTCGATATTCTATCCTGATTTTCATCAAAATCAAAATTTCCATATAATGATGATATTTCCTACAATTTCTTGGGCAGTGGCATGCCTCCTCATTGCTATTCTTCAACCAGTGAAGACACCCAAATCTCTACTTGCCCTCTACATCAGCATTTTTATCTCACAGTACTTTGTTTTGGTTGATCGATTCTCGACTTTACAGCCGAAAGATGGCCCATTGGTTCTTTCTTGGGTGGCTTCAATTGCAGCGGCCATCATCATTCTGCGGATGCCCATGCGTGATCCATCTCTTGGTAATGACGGGATAAGTCCAGTCTTCAGCCCACCAACTGACTCCCTTCGAAGTCCGGAAGATAATCTCACTCTATGGCAGTTCATGAGCGTGTCTTGGATGTCACCTCTCATGTCAATTGGAAAAGCTAAACAACTGAATGAGGACAACGTTTGGAGTCTCAGTTACCAGTTTCAACATAGGATACTTCATGAAAAGTTTAGAGATACGCGTGGCTCAGTACTAAAGAGACTTATAGATGTTACAGGTATCGATCTTATTATACTTAGTTCTTTGGGAATTTATAGATCATTCGCAGGTAATCACCCTATACACGTTCTAGAATCATAAAACTACAAACTAATCATTGGAATTTCTAAAGATATTGCTGCACCTTTGCTACTCCAGAAAATACTCGCAAGTTTGGAGAATCCTCTAGCCCCCAAGCAGGCCACACTGACATACTCCTTGATCGCCCTCGTCATCAGGCTAGTATCTGCTCAATGCGATGTATTCTCAACTTGGTATGGTAGACGCTCCTACGAGAGATCCCGAGGAGCACTCATTACTATGCTTTTTGAGAAATCTCTGTCGAGAAAAACTGTTAGTGCTAGCACAAAGCCAAAGGAGGATGAACATACCAATGGAGTCAATGGAAAAAATGGAATTCTATCTACTGATCCGGCGAAAGAACCTTCGACTCCATGGTGGGAAAGAGGATTGAATATGGTTACAAAACCTTTTCTTTCATGCCGTGGTTTGCGAACCAAAGAAGCCAAGAAGCCAAAAGAACCAGCCTCAATGGGTAAAATATTGAACTTGATGAGGTTAGCTTGCTCTTCCATCATCTAGAAATTGAACTAATAATCTTCATAGAGGGGATGCTTATGAAGTTGCCCAGAGGTAAGACCTAATTCTTAAGATTATTCACTTACCTTACTAATATATAACAAAGATTTTGGGACTTTGCTGATTTTATCACGCAACCCCTGGGATTAATACTTTCAATTATTGCTGTATGGAAGCTTCTTGGATGGCCATGCTTCATTGGAGTGATAGCTGTTTTCATAGGTCAAGCTTTTAGCTTTTTCGTTTTAAAGGCACTTATGTATTATGAAAGACAAAGAAGAACGGCTTCAGACACCAAACTCCACAAGATTACTCAGCTCGTTGAGTCAATTAGGTATGTCATCTCATACACTTGAACTATTACTGCTAGTCTTCACTGAAAACTGGTGTTTTTTTAACTAACTTCTTTATAGACACTTGCGTTGGTATGGATGGCAAGATATTTGGCTTGCCCGAATTATGGAAGCAAGACAAAATGAATTGTGGCTGCGTGTTATAACTAAGGCCTGGGGTACTCTTTTGTCGTTTGTGTACATGTTTTCAAGTGGAATGTTTCCCGTGGTGGCATTCTGGGCCTATTGCGTGTGGGCAGGTCAACCATTGCGTGTCGATGTAGCCTTTCCTGCTCTTCAACTTTTTCAAATGCTCGAGATGGGACTACAGACTGTGCCAAATCTTCTAACAACTCTTCTCAACGCTCGAATAGCAATGGGACGTATCGAAGACTTTATGAAAGAGCCTGATAAACCAGAAGTAGAGGCAAACCAAAGGTCAGATGATGGACTTGAGATGAATGATGCCTCATTTGCTTGGCCTGGTGCCAAAGACCCTGTCTTAAAAAACATGACTGTCTCATTCCCATCTGGATTATCACTTATCTATGGAGAGGTTGCATCTGGAAAGACAGCTCTACTACAAGCTCTTCTCGGCGAGCTTGATCATCTTAGTGGCGGATATAAGCCAGTGAATGAGGTGGTAGGTTATTGTGCACAAACACCATGGCTACAGAGTATGAGTATTAGAGACAACATTTTGTTCTCTGCTCCATATCAGGAAAGTCGATACAAACAAGTGCTAGATGCCTGCGCTTTGATCCCTGACATGGTAAATTTCAAGAATGGTGATTTATCCTTGATTGGAGAAAATGGAATTGGACTGTCTGGTGGACAAAGGGCTCGTGTTGCATTGGCACGAGCAATTTACTCTAATGCGAAAATATTGTTTCTCGATGATCCTCTTTCTGCACTTGACCACCACACCGCGGAGTCAGTAGTGAAGAAATGTCTAACGGGCTCGTTGGCGGAGGGAAGAACTATTATATTAGTGACTCATCGCACCGAGTTATGTCAAGGAATAGCACAACAAATTATCAGAATGACAGACGGAACAGCAGAAGTATTTGATCCTGAATCTATCCCGTCTGAGTTACTACACACCATAAATTCTTCAAATTCTGCAGTAGAAGAGCAAAAGGAAGATGAAGATCAAGCAGCCGCAGCAATGCCCGAAAAATTCATGGAAGATGAACATCGGGAGCATGGTGGTATTAAAGCTTCAGTCTATTGGGAATATATCAAATCAGGAAAGTTGAGATATTGGGCTCTAATCATGGTGGTCATAACTTTTCTTCGATTCGTCGATATTGCCGAAACGTGGTTTCTCAAATCTTGGGGAGAGGCATATGAAGGACCACGGAAACCATCCCGAGACCCTTTTAGTCGACTTCCATCACCTGAAACCAATATCCAGCCATGGTTACTTGGATTCTTTCTCTTTGCTGTTGCTGAATCCGTTGCCTGGGCTTTGTTTCAGGCCTCTGCACAACTAATGGTTTATACTGCGGGTAAAACCATTTTTGAGAGGGTCATGACCAGAGTTGTCCATTCGACATTTCGCTTCTACGATGTTACACCAGCGGGTCGTTTAATGAATCGTATGACATCAGACATTAGTGTCATCGACGGAAATCTGAGCTCTCACTTTACATCATTTGCATTTTTAATTATCTTGTGGTTTACATCTATTTTAGTTATCGGATCTCTCACGCCGACCTTTTTAGCTTTTGCAATCTTCCTCGTCATAGCAATTGTATTGATATACATACAATTTTTACCTACATCTCAGAGTTTGCGCCGTCTCGAAATGGTCTCGCTGACTCCATTGATTTCGAATTTTGGTCTGCTTACTGAAGGTCTCGGTACCATACGCGCGTTCTGCGCCCAACGTCGTTTTCAAGACCGAGTAATTGAAGTAACGGACATTTTTCAGAAAATGGATCATTTTTATTGGTCATTACAGGCATGGCTCGCTTTTAGATTCAATATACTTTCAGCTGTTTCGACATTTCTCATGACAGTTATAGCAGTATACCAAAATTTATCACCTGGTCTCACGGCCTTCGTTCTTGCCGCCGCAGGTAGATTCGTGCGGGCAACGAAAGGATTATGCCAATCTTACGGTCAACTACAAATGGAATTTGTCTCAGTAGAACGTGTAGTAGAACTTCTACATCTCGACCAAGAATCTCCCGGCGAAATTGATCCTCCAGCTTACTGGCCACGCCTTGGCGGCGACATCATCTTCGAAAATGTAACCATAAAATACGCACCTCATCTCGAGCCTTCCCTAGAAAATATATCCCTGACCATCAAAGGCGGCTCAAGTACCGCACTCATCGGACGCACCGGCAGCGGAAAATCTACACTTGCTCTCTCCCTCCTCGCCACAACCCTACCAAGCACAGGCCGCATCCTCATCGACGGCATCGACATCTCCAAAGTCAAAACCCAAGCCCTCCGCAAACGCATCACATTCCTCGCTCAAGAACCCGTTTTATTCCCCGGCACCATGCGTATGAATCTCGACCCAATGGACGAATACACCGATTTTGAATGCTCATCTGTCCTTTCCAAAATCGCTACACGTCACAATTGGACATTAGATACGAATATTGATTCGGGTGGTAAAAATTTAAGTCAAGGTCAGAGACAATTGGTGGGACTGGCTAGGGCTCTCTTGAGAAGAAGTTCGATTGTTATTATGGATGAGGCGACGGCGAGTATTGATAAGGAGACGGCGGGGAAGATTCAGGAGGTTATTAGGGAGGAGTTGGTTCAGAGTACGGTGTTGACGATTGCGCATCGGGTGGAGGCGGTTAGGGGGGCGGATTGGTGTGTTGTGCTTGAGAAGGGGGGGGTAAAGGGGTTTGGGGAGGCGGGGAAGGTGGGTAGGATGGGGGTGGGGGTGGAGGTGGAGGGGAGGAGTGATGGTTCTGAGGGTGGGAGTGGAGGGGAGTAGAGTAGGATAGATTAGATGAGGAAATTTATTTTAGGTTAGGGGGAAGTATATATAAAATAATATAATATATAATACAATTGAAGCGTTGAATATATAGAAAATATTATATATAATTATAATATTAAAAGAAAAGATAGAAAAAGAAAAGAAAAACATTATATATTCACGCTTCAATACTCACTTTATTATTAATGATCATTATTAATATTCAAATTCAAATTCAAATTCTAAAAACGTAGAAATGAATTAAAACAGTTTATTATCTCAATAATATATCAATAATAAAAATGTCTCATCTCATCTCATCTCATCTCATCTGAACTAAACAAAAGATACAGTTAAATAATCAACTTTATAACTTTATCCTACATAAAAAATAAAATTCGCTGCTACAGCAAGTGCTAGATAAAAATAGAAGTAATCTAACCCCATTGTCATCATCCCCATCCCCCCCCCCCAAAAAGCCAACTTTTTTTTATATCAACCACAAGTGCATAAGAAAAAAGCAGAGCAGTAACGGAACGGAACGGAACGGAAACTATATAAATCTTTCTCTTTTATCATTTTATTTATAACATCCAAACATCCCTATCAAGTTAAGCCAAAAGAAAGGATATCTAATACGCATAAACGACGACCGGGAATATTTAATTCTAAAGATTTGACTTCGTGTCTTATATCCCACGCTACTCCATAAATATAAAAATGAATATAAATATAAACATAAACACCCTACTCCATTCATATCACCAATTCCAATCCCAATTCCAACCCCAATCCATCCGATCCTAATACCAAGTAAAACCAAAGAGGGAATCCATTTCGCCAATCATAAGTGTCATTAAACGCGTCATAAAATAAAAACGCCATCTGCTTCTTAGAAGAGAGAGGAAACGCACAACACAAAATCCTAACTCAATCCCATACCTTACTTTCTCCCCCTAGCAACAATTTATCCCCAATTCAGCTACTGCTGCTCCCCAAGATACAGTTCCACTGTCTCCTTTCTCCTTGACATAATTACCTAATCTATTAAGCAAAAATTCCCTCATCTTTGGTTCATTAAATCTCTCTCCGTAGATCACTTTTGCGACCGGGGAAATCTCCACATCGAATCCTTCTTCAGTGCTATGGCTAATAAGGCTGAAAGCTAGTTCAACCTTCGTGGTAAGCGGCGCAATCAGCAACTTGGACTTGACAAGAATAGAGTTATCTGATGTTTTTGTGACGGCAGTTGGGCAGATGATGTTCAGTAAATGAATATCATCTACTACTTTAGCGGCCTTATTCCAAGCGACGCTAACGGAGTTTAGGAGAGCTTTGATTTCGGTTTCTGATTGAGGTAAACCTCTCACGTGATCACGGATACATTGAAGGAGGAATTCCTTCTCGGGGGTGAGACGTGATGGATTGTGCTCTCGATTGGCGGCAATGTACCAAAGATCAATCCTTGAGTTTTCTGGCTTTGTAGTCTTGCTGGGATAATTCGACTTGAATGCAGATGCATCAAATACAAGCTCAATCTCCTTTCGGTAGGTCATTGAAGTTGTAGTTCCGGACACGCCAGTGATCGTCCATCCATGTTTCTTCTCGATAGCATCCACTTTTGCTAGAAATTGTTAGTGGGATAATTAGAAAACGATACGAGGAACATACCTTTAAGAGTACTAATTTCACTCGAACTCCATCCACGGCATTCCTCCCTGATCTTCTCCGCTTCACGGATTTCTTTAAGGCACATCTCCTTCTTGGCGGTACCGGCTTCAATCTCCGCTTCTCTTGCTTGAAGCTGCTTCTTCAATTCCTCAATCATGTGCCTTTTGGCATCAACATCCGCTTCAACAGATATTAACTGTTGTCGAGCTTCACTAAGTTCTTCAGGATCACAGCTAGCAATTTCTTCCGCGGCAGTCCTCAAATTTGCCTCCTCATGTTGAAGCTGCTGAGATTTCTTTATCATTTGTGGGAGTACAGATTCCAGAAGTGCCTGTTGTTTATCAAGGATTTCTTCATCGCTGATCATACCTTCAGCACTTCTAACGAGTTCATCCTTGACAGTCTCAAGTAAAGTCGATCGCCATTCATACCACATGCCTTTACTGAGAAGACGAGAATGTGTTTTGACATTCTTGAGTTGATTGTCCATCACAAGCTTCATATCTGCCGGTGCAGAAATGTATTCACGGAAAAGTGGGGGGTTTTCTTCAAAGGTCTCGCTCTCAATCTCACGAACAGTTTTTCGGCCGTCTGATATATACTTCTTGAGTTCATGACAGGCCTAGATATGTTAGTATCAGCAGGTTTTCTCGGAACAAATTATGGCGATAACTTACATGCTGGAATAGCTCAAGCATAGGAATTGTAGCTGCACCTGCAGCAACACAATCCTCAAGAGAAACCTTGGTTTGATCTGACAATCTATTTCTCAATGGTCCATCGCTAGCACGTTTTGGCGCAATTGTATGCCTTCGCTTGGTAGTTGTCAATTCCATGAATCGAATGCTTGTCATATTCAAAAAATCTTGCAACTGTATGCGTTCATCTCCAAGTGGTTCTTCAGGTAGCTCTGGATATTCAACTGGTGCTGTCTCTTTAAATGGGATTGCCACAGGCTCAGTCAAGTTGGCTTCTGCATCTTTGAAACGACCTTGATCACGTGGTGTGGTTACTCTGTCCTTGATGGGCGAAGTAGTGGTAGTAGGAGTAGTGGAAGTGATGGTCGAGTCTTCCATACTCTTTCTGCTTGCGCGGGTTAGACGCCCAGTTGTTGTTTGTTCTTTGGTGGGTGGGCCTTGGAGATGGACGTTCTTCACAGGACTGCCCTGATGATTTTTCAGTCGCTTCATACCACCCTCATCTTCATCTGAGTCATCCTCATCCAACTCAGCAGGTCGTTTACCCAGAAGACCAATCGCTGCGCCAGCGTGCAAACTCTTGCGACCTTTCATTGACTTCTTAGGTGTGAGACTGTTGATCATTTCCTTGAGGTTCAAGGTTGCATCTTTTTCTTCTCCCTCACCCTGATCTGCTTCACGCTCCATTATCTTACGTCCATTTTCTCGATCTTCTTCTTGTTCTCGCTCCCTGTCGACTTCTTCTTCCATGATACGAGGATCTTGGAATCGTACACCACGACCGAGATCTGCTGGCTGGGTAGGTGTGAATGATCGTGCTTGTTCTCCAATCGATCCACGTCGGTCCAATAATGCAGCAACCTTTGGCGATCCTAGTCCTACTCTATCAAGGCCGATGCCAGTGGACAATCGTTTTTGTGGTGTTAGAATGAAGTTGGGTGTCGCAAGGCCCGTATTGCTATCTTTTTTGAATAACTTGTTCGGTGTTTGTTTTTTACTTGAAGCTGTACGAGGGGTGGAAGATGACTCTTTGGGATCAGGTTTGAAAAGTCTTTTGGGCGATCCTGTACGCATGAGAACATTTTTAGAGGGTGGAGTTTTGCCTGGATGAGATGGTTGAGCAGGTTGTGGAGTGATTTGTTTTTGTGGGGTAGTCGGCTTCTTGACTGGTGTAAGCATCGTAGATTTAGGAGTAGATTTAGGTGTGGTAGAGTTTCGTTCAATGCTTCTACGAAGCCCTTTTCCTTTGAAACCGGCTGTGAAGCTGGGACTGCCAGTTTCTGGTGCTACAGTTAAAGGTTGCTGGTTGATAGATTTTGGAGGAGAATTGGCTGGAACGTCTACTCGAAATGGTGAGCTGAAAATGTCTGTTTCCATCTCCATAATCTTCTTCGCTTGGTTTCGATCCCCAGCGTTCAATTGTGGTAGGATACCACCTAGTGCTTTGGTCATTTCCATACCAACGGTCACATCCATATCCATTTCCTCGGTTTCCTCTATATTCGAAGGCATAATACGACCCACAGCAGCGGTCATATCCATGTCAATATCCATACCCATTGTCCCATCATCGGCGACGGAATCTAAGCTCTCGCGATCTCGTTTCGGTTGTGACTTTGGAGCCATGGATGATCGTCTCGTATTCTTGGTTGCAGCCGGTTGTGATAGCACCCGGCCAACTGCTGATGTAAAGTCCATGCTCATATCATCTTCAGATGCCTCTCCTTCATTTTCAGCAGTATGAATGCCACCCACAGCGGTAGTCAAGTCCATAGTCTGCTCGCCGAATGACGACTCTTCCCCTGTCGATATTCTGCGAGTACTTTCATGACGGTCCGCTGCTTTAGATTTTGCTCCAGGTTGGCTATTGGGAATAATTCCACCGAAAGCACGGGTCACATCCATGGAAAGCTCATCATCTTCCCGTTGTTGACCTGGTAAAATTCTGCCAACAGCACTTGTCATATCCATATCCATCGTCATTTCTTCTCCATCCGATTGTTCTGGATCTTCTTGAACATCCGATTTATGTGCTGATGAAAAAGGATTCACATTTTCTTGGTCTTGCTGAGATTCTAGAGGAGGCTTCTTTGTCCATGGAGCAAAGGATGCAACGATCTCATTATCTTCACTCATTTTGGTATCTCCTTGCTCATCAAAGATCATTGCTTGGGTACCAGCTTGGTTTGCGGCCCGCCGTAAAGATTGTTCTAGCATCGTATCTGAGCCAGCGCTGAAGCCTGACTGAACTGATGCCATTGACATATTTGTTGTTTCTCCACCATCCATGGTCATCCGAGTGCCGTCGTCATCATCTAGATCACTAGAAGCAAATTCATCGTCCTCAACATCATCGGCACCAACAGAGCTTCCGCTCAAAGGACTTGACGAGAAAGCATCATTAGGATCATTGAAGTTCATAGGGGGTATGGCCGAACTTCTGCGGCGCTTCTTTTGATGTAGGTCGCGTTGATGTTCTGGTGATCCATTTGCTGTATCATCTTCAATTTGTTCCGGTGGTGTTGATGGAGGCTCTGAAGGATCTGAGCTAGGTGGTCCAGAATTTTGCTGATGCGGGGTAGTAACTGAGCCTCCAGTAACATTCGAGGCCCGGCGGGTGGAATTGGTAGAATTTGATGAAGTTGTTGAGTCTTGGTATTCTACAACGACGTCCCAAGTATGAAGTGTTGCTTCCGGTGCAAATGAAACACGTCGGTTAGCAAGAGACTTACGTCGAGCATCTCGCCTAGAATCGACTTCCTTTTGCATAGCAACCCTCTCCTTCTCTTCCCTTTCTCTAGCAGCAGCTTGTTGTTCTTCCTCCGTTCTCAATGCAACTCGATTATCATTGTTTGGTTTCGGTATATCGATATGAAATGGATCATCAAGCGATTCGGGGCCTGCAGTTTTAGAACCGTTGTCAACGCCGAAATCGATCAATAAGTCAGATTCTGGTACAGGTGGTGAAGGTGTTTTGGCTTTTCTCGGACTCGATCTCCTGTTTGGATTATGCGCCGGGATCTCACGTAGAGGAGGCATTGTAGGTTTTAAGATTGATCTTGGAGGGGGTTGAGGAATTGCAGCCAGGGACTAAACATTATTAGCTTGTTTCTTTGCTTCCAGCTCGAACCAGATTCCTACCTTGCGTCGATTCCCAGTAGTATCTTTGAGAGCATCTAATCCGCCAGGACCAATACTCTTACTTCTTGATTTCCTCGCTGGCTTTGCGGTTGGCGCTCTCTTCCCAGTAAGCGCTCCGAGCTCCGCTGTCATATTTTCTTTATCGGCAGGTATTGCGGAGAGTGACTTTCGTGATTTTGGTCGACGAGTCGCAGGAAGTGTTGCCTCCTCTAAAGAAGACATTGCACATATATTCGAGTACCAATTGTATAAAGTACCATAAAGTGTGTCCTATAAATTAGTTATGAAATCTGGGGAAGAAATCGTTAGAAATCTCTTGATGTTGCTATGCCGAAAGGGTAAATCACAATGTAAACAAACAGTCGCGTCGAATCAAACGAGGATTGTTCGGATTAACCTCGGAGCATAAATTTCAGAAAATCATAACAATTTTCGACCCAATCACATGACCTTCTAGCATTGAGTCTCGCTTAGCCAAATTCCTTAGCGGCACACACATTTCGAGAAAAATTGGAAATTTAGAGGAACATTCAATCGACAAGACAATCCTATCGACGACCACCACGAATTTGCGACCTTCGACCAAATTTCGCAACCATGGCCACCGAACTTACCGTACAATCGGAGCGCGCTTTCCAAAAGCAACCTCACATCTTCCTCAACTCCAAGTCGAAGACCAAGTCCAGCAAGGTTGGAAAGGGTGGCCGAAGATGGTACAAGGACGTTGGATTGGGATTCAGAACCCCAAAGACCGCCATTGAGGGAAGCTACATTGGTATGTGGACTTTTATATGAAATTGTGGAATGGCGGAGGAAGGAAATATGCAACACGAATTTACGACTGCTTTATATTTCTTGTGGGGTTGGGAATAAGGATTGAGGGTCCAAAAAATGATATGAAGAGGATCGCGAAAATTGAATCGGAGAGGGTGATGCTAATAAGAAATTTTCAAATAGACAAGAAGTGCCCATTCACCGGTCTCGTTTCCATCCGTGGTCGTATCTTGACCGGAACTGTTGTTTCCACCAAGATGCACCGTACCCTCATCATCCGCAGAGAATACCTCCACTTCATCCCAAAATACGCCAGATATGAGAAGAGACACAAGAACCTCGCCGCCCACGTTTCCCCAGCTTTCCGTGTCGAGGAGGGTGATCAAGTCACAGTTGGACAATGCAGACCATTGAGCAAGACCGTACGTAACAATTTGCGCAAATACCTATGTTTTATTGGCGGGATCATGATCATATGTCCTTCTATTTCTGCAAAGCAAGCGAGTTCAATTTAATTAACAAAATTCTCATTAGGTTCGTTTCAATGTTCTCCGTGTCCTTCCCCGAACTGGTAAGGCTGTCAAGTCTTTCAGCAAATTCTAAATGGGTTCTTTATCGTACAATGGGTGCATGTGGTTTTCTGGGATGCTGATCAGGAGGGTTGTGATCATATGAATACTGGGAAAGCAGCATGAAAATCATGTGCAGTAGCTACGAGAAGTAAATTCAATGCCACGACGTTCCAGACACAAGATGATGCGTTACTTGAATCTTGATGTGGATTGAATATGACCAAGGAAATGAAATGAGAGGATACAATGCAACTTTACAGTCCAAGAATTGCTCTCAGCACTAATCTTGGTGTACGATGCTAAAATATACGCACATTCTAGATGTGAAGAGCGAGAGATGGGCACGCATTCGGCATTCCACCAAAAGTTATAATTCTTAGTATTGCAAAAGAGTGTTCAATGTAGCAACAAATCTTACCATGGTTATATATCTCTATCGTGAGACACTTCACTATACACTCAGCTCTCTCGGTTTGTACCTTGCAGTGTACCGGGGTTGTATTGACAATTATTGACAACCTCAAATAGACATTCATTTATTAACCATTCTAGATTTCGAATCGACAAAATCAACCCACTAATCTCGAACGCCAAGGTCATTCTTAAATCTTTTTTTCTTGCTTTTTCTTTTACTCATGAAGCAAATCCTAATTCCTCACCCCTTTATTTCGAGGCTGAGGATATCAATACCCGAGAAGAGGTAGTTTCTAGCTTCAGCTCTTCAACCGCCGAAACATACAAATGAATGATGAATGGTTCTATCTATCTTATGTGCCAGCCACTCATACTAACACTAGCCACACTAGCCACACTCAAGAACCTTAAAATCACGCATCCCATCAATTCAACCATCACTTCAGCTATCTCCACCTTTCTTCCGCATTGATGCTTCAAATTACCTAGGTAGATATATCATTATGCACAAAACACCCCGAAAAATAAAAAAAATCCACCAAATAGTAATTCTGAAATCCAGCTTGTTTGCTTGCTTGCTCCACCTCCAGCTGCTCCAGCTCTTGCTTGCATCATTACGGAGTACGGAGTACAGAGGAAACGGATCTCGGATCTCTCGCTGTTCAAACCATCGACCGAGTGTGATGAACTTGTGATAAAGTGGAGTGATTGGAAATTGGAAATTGGGAATTGGGGATATTAATATTGAGACAAAGGACGTATGTATGGATTCAACTTATGTGAGCGAGTCAGTTAAAGAGCCGGTAAAATAATTGATAGTGAAAAGCTCGGTAAAAGAAATAAATGTATAAAATAAATCTCAATCAATTTATTTAATTTATTTCACTATATATTATCTATCTATATATAAGCAATTCCTTATCAATCGATTTCACAAGAACATCTGATCTCATCCCGAAGATTTGAATTGAATCGAAAAAGTTTATATAAAATACCTAGGTAATACATCAGCCCTGACTAATCTAGAAAGACTCCCTAGACTCGTGAGATTGAGATTGAAATTGCAAAAGACTTTGTATTCATATACTTCCTACATTTTATATACGCACATTCAAATATATACATTAGTAATTTGTCAGAAATTATCAATCTGAATCACACAACATTAACGGGGTAAATCTTATAAATCTCACTAGCTAGTTTTCGCATGAATGAACCGACATATATACCTGGATTAGCATAATGAATAACAATACCCCCCTCTTCCAATCCTCAGAATAATAATTATTTCATACATTGATTCTTTGATATTACCGAGTATTCGATCGCATCAAAACTGCTTACTCAAATCTACAACTTCCATCGTTTGTTCCATTCATTCATTCAATCGCATCTCATCTCATCTCATCAGCAACACCTCGACTCAACTCAGACCAAGCGAATCCAAAGCAGCCAACGATCAACTCAACACAACTCAACTCAACTCAACACAACTCAACCCGAACAAACCAAACCAAACAAACAAACAAACAAACAAAAAACAATGTACTCACCATCCACCTCACCCAGTCCACCCCCCTCACACTTCGACTTCGGTACACCACCCCCCTCACCACCACCCACACTAAACTCCCGCTCCTCCTCCAGCACCAGCACCAACACCAACACCAGCACCACCTCAATCATCACCTCCACCATAACCAAATACTGTCGACCGTCCAGCACCTCCTCTCCAACCTCAAAATGCAATAAAAACTCCCCGAGTTCCAAATCCAAATCCAAATCCAAATCTAAATCCAAACACATCACAAATCCGCAATCTATACCCGTATCCCCTCTCACAGATAAATATTCCACGGCAAAACCTTGGTATCATACTACTATTGGTAAACGGTTGGGTCCGGAAGCACGTGAGTTGTTAGAGAATTATAGTCATATTCCTCCTGAGGAGGTTGATGCGCATGTTTATAAGATGGTATGTTAGGGGGGGTTTTTTTTTTTTGAGTGTTTAGTTTTATTTTATATCTTTTATATCTTTTATCTTCTGTTTTCTTTTTCCTAAATTTCTTATCTAGGTTTTTTTATAAAATTTCATTTCTTTTATTGGGGGATGTGATATACACTCTAGTATCTACCATATGGGGGCTTCATCATCTATCCATCCATCATTCCATCCATCCCAATACACAAAAGCAAGATGAAATCCAAGTACATGGGACCACAAAGTCACAGAATCACAAAATCACACCAAGGAAAACCTAACTAACAATCTCCCCCCCCAAAGCGTGATCTCCTCTGGAATCAAACCCCCTACCCCTCCATCGGAAATTTTTCCTTCCTAACCCTGCGTCTCCTGACCCACCCACTCTATCCCCGCATCGTCCAGATTCTTTCCGCCCCGTCAACACCTTCGAATCCACCGGCCCTTTTTCTCGATTTGGGTTGTTGTGTTGGTCAAGAGTAAGTTTGTTCTTTTTTATTTTTTGGGGTTTTTAGTTTTGAACGGAGAAAGTCACTTTCTCTATCTCTATCTCTATCTTTCATTTGCATTTTCATTTTTTGTTCTTGTTGTCTTTTGATATTTTTCATCTACGGGTGTTTTCTTTATCTACTTTCTAATTTTTACTTTCTGCTCCCTTTCCTCGTCTATTGCATTTTCCCTTGAAAATTCTCGCCTCAAACCCTCTCCTCAATAATGGATCACTATCCATCTCAAAATCCACACACATACATACACACACACCTAACTAACCCACCCTAGACTCCGCTCCCTCGCGCACCACGCGCATATCCCCCCCACCCAACTCTACGGCACAGACTACAACGGCAGTTTCCTCAAAACCTCGTACAAAATCTTCCTCGACACGCCCACGCACAGCGCCTTCACCCTCCTGCAAGCCAACATCCTCGACCCGAATTTCTTCCCCCTAACCTTCCGCAACCACATCCACCAATTCTCAATCATCCACTGTTCCCTCTTCATGCACCTCTTCACATGGGAGCAGCAACTCCTCGTCTGTGAAAACGTAGTCCGTCTATTGCGAAATATAGAAGGTGCTTTATTCGTAGGGTGTATGGTAGGGAAAGAAGGGGGAGGAGAGGGTGAACAGGGGAGATGGTTACATGATGCTGATAGTTGGGTTCGGTTGTGGGGAACCGTGTGGGAACGCTTAGGGATGTCTGGGAGTTGGAAGGTGCAGGGTGAGTTGAGAAGGTTGCCCGGTGGGGATTTGGTTAAAGAGGGGGAAGAAGCGGTGATGGATTCAGGAGGGGAGGGAATTGGTCTTTTTGAATTTTCGGTTGAGAGGACGGGTGTTTAGATATTGGGGCCGCAGTGGTTTTTATCTTGGTTTTGTTGGCTTTTAATGATATGTGCATATATACAGCTGTATATATGTATATATGTACATATGATAATGTACACTTAGGATACATATAACTAGGTATGAAACAATTTAGGATAGGAAATCAACCAAAAATCATGAATATAAGAATATAAGAATATAATTCCACAAACAAACTCAATCCCACCCACTACCTGCCAAGTCTTTCACATATTAACTAATTATTGACTCAAGCTTCCTTCAACATTTAACGCAACACACACACAGCGCTACACAACATAATATTATCGCCAAGCCATCACACAAAAAAGACCCGAGTAACATAACATAACTCAACATGCAGATATGTATATGTAGTGATAACAGCCAAATGTTTTATCATGATTCATGATTAATTAACGATCCGAGTCATGGATAGATTATAATACACAAAACCTAGGTGGTTAGTACGTACACACGACTTTGTTTCCGATGCGCATACATACGTGCATACACATGCACACTTGCGCCAAGAATATTGAAGCGGCGCTTAATTTGCCATTTGGGATTTCGGGTTTGGGAGGTGTGGGAGGTGTGGGTTGCTTAGTTCATTCGTTTTGTGACGTATTGTGTTATTGATTAGTTAATGATTAATTAGATTTGAGGTAGGATTGAGTTTGTTATTTTTAGAAGGGAGGATGTGTAGGGTAGGGATAGATAGGGATAGGGATATGGATAAGCAGAGCCGCATATAAATCTAGGAAGATACGGTGTGAGGATGAAGATGAAGATGAGTTGGATATAGTATGTGGTTCCAGTCAGCCACTATGTGCTTTATGCCTTATGCTTCATGTTTGTCTGACATGTAGGTATTCTTTGATTGAATATTTGATAGGGTATCATAGGGTATGATAATATATGCAGGATCTGCAGATGAGGACACGCTTGAGAGAGTAGATGGATGGGATATGGCCAGTAGTTGTTATTGGTGCGTGTGAATTACATAAGATGTAGTGGGGAGGGTGAGATGTGATGAGATGTGATGTGATGAGATGTGATGAGATGTAATGAAGTGAGATGAGATGAGATTTGAGTGGCCTGAGGAAAATAATTTTGTAGAATTTGATGATTTGATTGATGATTGGGGAATCTTCATCATGATTCTATGTATGTGTCCCATAAAAACTTTCGGTCTAAGGATTAAGTTTCGCAAGGAATACCAGTGTAATATTATCTCATTAAGAGCTCTCACCGACAATTCAAATCGCCAAAGTAGATTCATATTTCTCTACATTTTTAATTGGATAGAAAAAGATAGACGATAAACAACAAACTACCCAAGTGCTCCAATCCGTCATGCACACATCTTATGATTGAGCTAACAATCATGCAAAATTATCTCAAGAAGGATGCGGGCTGCTTACTTCCTTCGAGATGGATGTTGCGGCACGGAAATTATCTCATGCCTTAACGGTGAGATGAAAAGTCGGTAATACGACTGCAGGCTTACCACTTGACATGTGGATAGAGAAAATTGCCAATATGTAAGTGGAGCTCATTCTCTGACGAGAGAAACTCTTTTCATATGATGAATCGTTTGCCTGAATACGAGTTTCGGCCCTTTAACATGTGCTTCTTTCCAGATGGGAGAGGTATAAAGGGAAAGGAATGTGTCCATAGTTTGATATTGACCATCCGACATCTCACTTGCGATATCGATTCCTCTTAACAAACAATATGCCAGCTCGTTCAAGTATATACATTGAATTGTATACTCCAGCGGCCGAGAAGCCGGAAGCTCTCAGAATGTCACTACATACTGGAGGACATCGACATGGAGATGATAGGGAACGTGTCTATGAATCGACTGTGAAGTCAAACAATGTTCCTCATGACAAAAGGGGAATTGATACTTCAGCGAATAAAGTGGGGACGATACATTCTTCCAGTCTAGACCAAGAAAAATCGGTGGAAATCAGGGGTAGTGCTTAAGACTCGAGCTCGGCCTTGTCGTTCGATCGTGCCCTATACGTGGTGAAGACGGTACCGTGGAGCTGGAACCATAAAATTATATGGATCGAAGGGGTTAAAGCTGGCCTCGTTGGCTCGAGCTCTATTAGAGACTCAAGGGACAATCGATACGGAATGCCGAGAGATAAAGGTGATGGTTTTTTGTGGATGAGTGAAGGAAAGAATGCTCAGTCATCAGCGCGTGTGGAAAGAAGCAATAACTCTTCACGTAAGTTGCCAACAAACCACCTACTGAATCATGCTCATTTTCTGTAGGGCCAATGACAAGGCCATGGCCATGGATAGAAGATTTCCCATGATTCTTGTCGGTTTGGGGTTGATGGTTAGGAAATAAAATGCGGGAATGGCTGGTTGGTCTTGCTTCCGGTGTCCGATTATGAAGCAACAGGGTTATTTCAAGGATATTAGGATCCTTTCATTCCCAAGTACACCGTATGAAATATTTGTCATTGCTCATTATCCATTTTGAGGAAACAAGTGCTTTGTTTGATTCGCGAATATCGAGTCGCGATCTGATGATGTGTTGTGAAGTGAAATTTATTGTTCGGATCCAAATGGTGAAGCAGAAGATTCAATGTAAACACGCAAGACGGACACGAGCCTTACTCTGACCAGGAATCATGTTGTCACGTGATATTATTGGAATAGGATGCTACTTCTGAAGTTCTCTTTTCAATCAGTTCTAGCTTCAAATTTCATGAAATGGTCGTTTCAACCAAACCAGGTGTGATATGTTTTTGCGACAAGATGTCTAAAGACCTTGGGGGAAAAGTTGCTTCATCCAGTCATGTGACACTTTGATGCACGAAAATTACTGCATTCGCTCAGCGGGGCAACTTTCTTTCTTTGCTTTAGGCTCACCGGTTACTCCCCCCGCGAACCTTATTTGACGCAGCAATACACAATACACTCACCGTGTTAAAGTGATGCTAAACCAAAATTCTATGTTAGGATCTGATCTTACAACACATTTCAAATAACACGATATACCGAGTTTACTGATACACAGAGTACTAGTTTTCGTGCAAAATGTCAAATCTGTTCACCCACAAATTTCATATAAATTTTGACGTCCACCAGTCTGATAGTCTTCCATGATTTCATCGCCGGCGCGCCACAACCCTTAACAGCCACGCGAACCCTTGTTATAACCTAAAATATCCAACGTCATAACACTCAATCTCAACCCTGAATACGAGTATCCCAATCCACCATAAAACCAAGCAAATTCTCTACAAACTATGATCTTGCTGCAAAATAAAACCAAGTGTTCTCTCAATTCCAGCTTCATCCATTAAATCCATCCATCAGCCATGTATATAACCAACTCCCTTCTAACACTTTTCCCCCATCTCATCTGCGCACTTACACTCCCACAACAACATCCCATCGCACCATCTTCAAATACCTTATCAATATCCTCTCAAATCCAACCTCTATCTCTATCTCAACCTCTAATGGGTTTCGGAACATGGAATCTAAATATTTCACCCCTCGATCCGCACAGAAACTGTTGCTTATGCAATTGAAAT